AGCCTCAGGGACAGGTTTTCAGGCAGAAAATGGGGTGGTGAGCAGGGCTGGCATCCCACACAGGGACATGGACACAGGGTCTGAGTGAGGTCACCACGCACAGCAGCACAAAGAGCAGTATCACAGGCCTTTTGGGGATGGCTTTTTGCTTTGTTTCAGATTCTCCCTGCCCAAGCTGATAGTGTGGAACTGATACTGCACTCAAAAACTTGCCACAGAGAGCAAAGAAATCCACAAGCAGCCGTGGCTGGCTCTGCAGGGTTTGGATTTGCTGCAGGATCAAGCAGCAGGTGCTGCCTAACATCAGTGTCCCCACTGCCACTGTAGGCTGGAGCAGCTCCAGCACTGGGGACACCTGTCTGGTAGCAGCCATGAGACCAAATTTCCCAAAGGGCACCGTGGATCTTCCCTGCCCTCAGCCTGGAATTTGGGCAGGAACATCACATTCCCCTCCTCCATTCCGTGCCAGAGCTGGAAGAAGAGGGAAAAGGATCAGATGCTGCAGAAGTCCTGACCTCATTCCTACCCTGCCTGCATATGTTTTGTGGTAATGCTGTGATAGTTCTCAAATGCTTCCTTTACATTTTCCCAGCCAGGCACCAACATCACTGCCATCACCCCGTCTCCTTGTCTCTGCAGGAGTGTCCTCAAGGAACACCTTTGCATTTGGCTGAACAAGATGTTCTTGTCTGAGGAACCACAACAGTGTTTTTCCTGGTTTTCCATCCATCCTATTAAATCACACTAGCAGCTTTTCTTCCTACAGTTTAGAGTAAGACTCCTGTGGCTAGTGTTATGTGGACAGTCTGTCTGTCATTTCCTATTGTCTTTTGGTCAGGTGAGCTCCAGGTCGGAGAGATGGTCTTCCTGATGGAGTGATAATGTAAAGAGATATATAAATACAGTGTCCAAAATCAGATTGGGTTGTGTCTTTTCAAGGAGATGTCAGAAGCATCCAAGCAGTGATTTGGTGCATCAGGGTAGGAATGTGCCTGGCATGACTGGTGTGTAGGGCCTGTCCTGGCTATCAAGGAGCCATCAGACAAAAATGCTTCATGGAACATCTCCACCTGCTCCAGTGTGATGGAGGACATGTGCAGCCCTAAGCCACAACTTTGACCTTGCTGCTGGTATCAGGCACACAATGGGTATCTCCTCATGATTTCTGATCACCCCTAAGTGCATCTGTGGTGAACTTCAGTCTGATGGGGCTTTTCTCACCAAATACATTTGCCACTCCTGGAGGGAACTAGGATTGGACAGAAATATATTTGCAGGGGGAAAGGCACCCCATAAACAAGGGGAAACACAGTGGGTCTCCCAGGAGGCTGCATTTTTGACCATTTCAGACCACAGCCCAAAACAACAACGGCATGCAGATGTTTTGTCTGTGCCATTTTTAACAGGCTTAAGGTGAAGCATTAGGCCAAGGAAACCCAGCCTCGCTTCCAAACTGGTCTGACATTGCTCTCAGATGTCTTTGCTCAATCCCTGTGCTCCTCTCTCAGCCCTGAGACCATTTCACAACAAAATATTCCTCTAATCTGTTCTTGTGAAATAGGTGGCAAAATATGCATTGCCACCAGGGTAAGCAACGGCAACCACAGGCCCAAACACAATTTTTTTTTCCTCTCTTGGATAAAAATATGTCATTGACCACTTACTTAAGCTAAATACTTTCCAGTAATGCCCTTTTTTTTTTTTAAGCTCATGTTTTTTTTTACTAGAACAGTGTTGAGACAACCCAAGTTACCAGCTAATGTCACTGTCACTTCCAGGACTACCCAATCGGTCCCATCCTGAGCAGGCAACAGCCCTTCTTGATTGACTAAATATCACATTTTTCCAGTTTCTTGGCCAAAGGCCTTCAAGACCCTTGCTTCCCAAAGAGGAGGGAGAAAACACAGCACCCTTGTGTGGATATTCAAAGGTTATGAATCAAATTTTCCAGCAGGGAAAGCCCATGGCGCTATCACACAGCCAATCCATGTACTGAGCAGTGTCCCAGCTCTGCTGGGAGCAGGGTCAGGCTCTGAGGCTGCTCCAGCATTTTTTCCCACATGTTCAGCTCATGCTAGAGTCCTGCCCCAGCCCGTGTGTCTTTGCTGAGATGCCTTTGACAGAGGGAGGGAGTGAGCTGATCTCCTGACACGGGGCTGTCCCGGCAGATAAAATAAATATTTAGCTGGAAAACATCTAACAGTTTTCAAAGAGCCCAGGACGGCCCAGCGTGTTTAGACTGCGTGCATAGCAAAGGGCACTGCTGTCTTTAATCATCCTCGTATGTATTCCACACTTTTATCTGGAGTTCTTCACAGTCCTCTGCAGAGAGGTTTGTCTTCTTCATCTCTGCATCACAGATAAGGAAATGGAGGTGCAGCCAGTGAGGGCTTGGCTTGGGGTGCTTGGGGTGCCATGTTTCGAGCCACCTTTCTTTGTGTTTCCTCTCCAAGGCCGGCGTGCCTCCGACAAGATGACATGAGAAGTGTTTTCCTGTTTCCAGGTTTTCCTGCTGGTGGTGGTGGCCCTTGTGGCTGGTGCCACTTGTGCCCATATCTCAGCAACAGTCCCTGTATCCCACTGTGCCCCTTGCCCCTGGATGCAGCCAGGAGATGGGTTTGCACACTGGCTCTTTTGCAAAGGAATTGCAAAGGAAAAGCAATGCTGCTTTCTGTTCTGGCACTTTGCATCATGGAGTAACCTCTCTTCTCTCCAGCAGGCTCAGCTTCATTTATTTATTACTCCATTTCACAGATGCTTTAATATAAAGTAATTAGTCCTGAGGGTAGCATTAAGCCAAGAACAAATTAAGCTGTAACACAGCGTATCCTCTGCCTGGGTGCTCTGATTTTTGAGAGCCCAGCAGGCGAGGCTCCTGCCTGGGCTCTGCCTGAGTTCTGTAACCAAGAGCATCACGGGGGAGTGCAGTGTTCTGGGGTTGTGGGCAGGATGAGGTCCAGGGAGTGCTGCCCAGAGCAAGCTGCTGCTGGTGGGAGGTGTCAAAGGGAAGCTGCCCCAGTCCCAGCCTCCCAGCAGCCCTCACCATGGCTGAAGAGGAGCCAGCTGAGTCCTAAGGCAAGAAATGAAGCATGGTTTTCTCTGGAAGCTGTGTGGGCTTTAATGAAAGCCTGACCCAGGGTCTTATAACCTCCTTTTTTAAAAAGAATTCCTTTTAAATTAGCACATTTGCTTTCTCAGCTCAAATGCATATTTCCCTTGCCCCACAACTTCTCCCATACAACATTCCTTTGAATCAGATTTTCACAGAAACTTTTACTGAGAACAACAGTCTAGCAGCCTCAGAAATATCCAGCCCAGCCAATACAGCTCTATGGAAAAATTGTGATAAACTGGTGGGGCATTCTCAGATGGAGGCTGCCTGAGCAGGAGCTGGCCCCAGACTGGGGAAGGAGCATCCCCATGCATCCCCAGACATAGTAGTGAAGTTGTCCACCCAGTGGTGTTTTATAGATCACCCTGCTTTTCCCTATTTCCCTATTTTCTTTAGCCACAGAGGGAATCTCTGCAGAGGATGAGAAGTCTAAACCCAGTTTTTGTATCAGAAAGCAAAGTATACCTTTGTGTCCTGGGAACCTCGTCATGCCTGGCTTTGCCAGCTCCATCCATCTTCCAGCCCCATGGGTCTAGGGGACTTGGGTCACATCCCAGGCTGGCCTACAAGGCACATGAACCTTTGCAGAACCACATTTTCACAAACTAAACTAATTTTTCAGGCCTTGCATTCTTAAGGCCGCCAGCTTTCCAAGAAATTTTAAATCCTGTAAAATTCACCCAAATGCCATAATCCCTCATGGAAACAAAGGCTGGACTGATTATTTTTTGCTAAAAGGTTGGCAGGCTTCCAGCTTTCTGAAATGCAGCTCTGCTGAAAGAAAAATCTTTTGTGGGCAGAATCATGCACTGGTGGTTTTGGAAAGACAAGTCAAAATAAGGCATTTCAGGGAAAAAAAAACCAAACCAACAAACCTTTAAAAATAGTCTTGAAGCTATCTTTATCCCCAAGCGTGGAAGAGGAAGGGTCACACTTATTTTTCATCTGCTTTTCCCCCTGTCCACTGATAGAGAAAGGGGCAGGTGGTTTATTTTCGGGCTCCTGTTCCTGCTGCAGATGCAAGAAAAGCCATTTTTCCCAAAGCTGGCTGGAGCTTTGTGTGCTGGGATAGCTGTGGAAACCTCTGTCTACACCAGCTATGGGAAAATAGGGCTTGGAGAGGGTTTTGGGGACCAGGAAATTATTTGTGGGTGGCCAGATGAGGGTTGAAGTAGCTCAGCATTATCAGTTCAGGGCAGTCATCAGGGGCTTTCTCACAGGGACGCCAGCAAGGATTAAATTTGGTACACCCCTGCAATGACTTCCATCCTCTCTCAGTTCCATAACAGCTTTTTGCAATTCCCCAGTCTGCCCTCTCCTTTACCATCCTAAATAACTGGCCAGCATGAAGCAATCCCTTAATTTTTAGTGACCACCTTATCCAGCCCATGACACGTGGTACCAGCAACCCCCCTTCCTGGAGAAACACCTCCTCTGCTTCCCAGCTTTAATCTCCAGCAGGAGGACTTCGATTTTTGTAACAAAAAAATCTGTAGAAGCCAGTGGTTTATGAGACAGTCCACCCTTGAGTGTGTTTTTTGAGCCCTTCAGAGGTTTGTGAGACATGACTTCCCTTTGCAAAAGCCCTGTCCACTCTCCCCAGATAGTGAATTGCATTCTTTGATATGGGCATTTGATTCTGGTCATTTGGCCAGCACAGACATGAGGTACAGACACCAAGAAACCTCCTGAAGGCATTTTTAAGGTCCTATGGAAAAGCAGTGCAGCTGCCCCAGTCCAGGAGCTGTTTGCAATTCTCTCGTTCAGGAGGATGCAAAACCTTCCCATGCATTAACCACTGCACAACCTCACAGCAGCTTCTCACCTTGCCTGGACCCCTTAATCCCCATGCAAGTGGATTTAATACCTCTGTATTAAAGAAGGCAGCTTATGGAGAGGCTGCTGGGAATTTATTAGCCGGGCCCTTGGGAGGCAGAGCTTATAAAATAGAAACTTAATGAGCAGCGTGCTGGACAAAGGAGTTTAAATCATACCTAGCAGTCTACATCCTCCAACTCTTCATCTCTAAGCCTGATCATCAGTGGAAGCAGCTACATCCATGAGATCCCAGCAAGGGACCAGAGTCACTCTGGAACCCTGGGCCTGAGTGAGGTGGGAGCCAGAACAGTTGCTTTAGACGATTTACAGAGTTAGTAGCTGATTTATTTGAAAATTAAAAAAAAAAAAACCACAGCAGAATGATGAGAGGAATTGCATTACACTGCTTTTGGTTTTTGCTAAATGTAAACAATAGCACATGTTATTTTAGAATTAAGTTTTGTTAATAGTATTGCAAGATGCTCAACATCTGAAAGCACCTTCCTGGTGCAAAGACTTTCCAGACACCTGTGAGGCACCACCAACTCTTGATTAGGCACAGGAAGGAAAGGCAGTGGTCCAAAAATTCAGTCAATCCAGTTTTAGGCTTCCTAATCCCAACTCAGAAGTGGTGAAGCCACATGAGAAAGCATGTCGAAGTTGAACTCGCTCTACCAGTTCAATTTTTTGTTTTTATTTTTTTAAAACAGGCTTCCTTTGAAGCATCAGGCTTCACCCCACATCAGGTACCAGCTCATCTGTACATCTAGCCTGCTTCCAGAGTAGCCACAAACCCTCCCCCAGTGAGAGAATCCAGCCAGCCCATGCAGTGCACAGCTCAGGGAAAAGCAACACATTTGTGTCAGAAATCTTCAGTCACTCCCCCCTTCCCCCTTGAATATCAAACATCAGAGCTGAAACTGCAAAGGTAGATACCAAATAGTAGTATCTGTTCCTGTCACACTGAAGAAAAGCAGGAAAAGGAGCAGTGGCTGCCTGCAGGAGATCTGCTGACAGCACCAGGGCTTGAGGATGCTCAGCACCGATGGCCAAGGGAGTGACAGACCTGCCACTGCTGCCCTGGAATTCCAGGGACAGTTCACTTGGATCTGCACTTCAAAGAAAGTGAGCTACAAAGGAAAGAACCAGAACTATGTGTGCAAGCCTGCTGGGTGCCTGTTGGCAGCCCTCCTTGCACTGGCAGGAGAAGAGAGCCACAGCCCAGCCATCACAATGGTGCACAGGAGTGCACAGGACCTTTTCCTGAACTTTTCCAGGGTAAAACCAAAGGAATTCAAGACAGGGTTGTGCGTAGCTAATCCGAGAGGATGTGGGAACAAGACACATTTGCAGACATGAGATATCTGCATTTGGAATGGAGAATAAGAGAGAAAAGCACAAGGAAATTGATGTAGGAAGGAGGGACCAGCACAGGCCCAATTCTTTTTTCTCCCTTTCAAGTGTTGGCTACAATGTGCCAGAGGTCTCAGGCCACTATGCCTGATGGACCTCGGGATGCTTCCAGTGGTCTCTTCCAGTGTCTCCATGCGACTAGTCCCAGCCGAACAGCAAACATCAAGCACGTCAGTGCCAGCAGAACAACTGGGGAAAAAACACAGAAGCATGTTGGAGCATAAAAAAGGCATTGCCTCTTGTCATACTTTAGCCCCCAGAACAGGGGGTATTCAGGGAAAGATTAAAAAAACCACAATCCCCTGTACAGGATCCATTACCCCCAGAGCTGTCTCTCTCATAGTTTTACTGCTATGCAGTGAAACTTGTCCAATGCTTCCAGCTCAAGGAATGCCTAAAAAGTTGGAGGCTTCCTGGACACAGGAGTTAAAATACATTACATTAACAAAATACTCCAAGAATAGTTGAACTATATAAAGAAACATGTACTAGTTTGGGAAAAGCACATTCTTGTCTTACCAGCCAAACAAGCTGAACCACTAAGAATGAAGTTTTGCTGGTAAGAAATGTACCTACTGCAGGAACAGAGCTGCCTGCCAGAGACCATGAACACCTCCACATTCCTGGTGGCCACAACCATCAGGAGACGAGCCTCCAGTGCCCCCATGGCTGTGGCAGACAAGCTTTGTCAAGTCCTGCTGAGTGCTTTTCAGGCATGATCAGGCTCCAGCTGCACTTACAGCAAAGGGAACTGTACTGGAGCAGCTCTAATGGTGATGCCAGTCCAGAATTTAGCTTTAGCCACTGGTATTTGGCAGTGGGAAGGCTGGAGGGTGGGAACATGCTCCCTTCTGCTGACCCCTTGGTGGGAATAGGCATCTCAAACTGTTTCAGCAGGATTCAGAGTTCACACAGATCAGTCCCTTTCACGCCAGCATAAAACTGCTCATAATGGTACAGCTTCTGCCAGACTGTGATTGTACAGAATTTGGACAGCTTAAGCCCTTTTACCACGGATGACTACACTCAAGTCTGCTACAGTGGCTGGCAGCAACCAGATAATCCCAGGAAAACTTGTTAAGGCTAGCCTGAGCTCTGCACAGGAGAGGAGCATGTGCAGGGGTTTGCACTGTGAAGCCCTCTGTGGGTCGGATGCTCGTGCCCTGCTCCAATATGCCCAACAACACAGGGACAATGGAAGCCCACAGCCTTCATCCCAGCCCTGCTTTTCCTTTGGCCTGCCCTACGTCAGATGGAGCTGCTGGAGGAGCCAAGTGGGTGATGGAGGATTGCAGGACAAACATATTGCACTGGGAAGTGAACTTGAGACACCACGAGGGTTGGGTTCAGCCCCAAGGCTCATGGGCAATGATTTCTGCTCTGCTCCTTCCTTAGCAAAATGAATACCTTCAAATTTGCTTTTAACAAATAATGCTTTTCAAGCTGCAAGTCTTTCTGACCTCAATACAGAGGAAGGATGTGAAGTGTTTACTACTGGCCTTCTTTTACAGGAGTTAGAAGGATTCACCTATAAAAGCATCGTTGGTCAGTGGGGATGAAAATGAGCCGTTCCTGAATGCGCTGCCAGCCAGAGCTGCTATGACCACAGGGTAGACTGTGAGGTTATAGCGGACATATTTGTCAAGCAAGTAGTTTTCTAGATAAAACCTGTGGGGAGAGAGAGAACAAAGTAAGAACTTTCTCTGTATTTTTTTTCCATTCCCTAAGAAAGGAATTAGACAGAGAATGGAGGGTTTTGTGGGCCAAGAGTCCAAAATTTTTCATTTACTAACATTCAGAAAATTAAAAAGTAATTTATTTAAGGTAAGTTTAGGAAAAAATAAAGCCATATTTCATATGGTTTATGTATCACACCCTCACCTGTAAACCTAAGGCCGGTTGGGCTCATGCTCACAAAAACATGATCCTGGCCCACAATGTTTATTGGCATTGGATAAAAGCTCTGCCCAGACTCCCAGTTCATCTGCCATGAATTATTACAGAGGCCTTTCGGTGTTGGGACAGGGACCAAGTGACGAGTGAATTGGACCAGATGGGCACCATTGGTGAGAGGTGGAAGGGGTTTCTGAGGCTCAGTGGGGACCCTTGGGATGGCTCACCATATCACCAGGCCGAGAGCCAGGATGCTCAGGGAAGCAGTGGTTGCTTTCTCATTGGGCACGTCCCACTTGTAGATCAGCACGACGGCGAAGTTCAGCAGCGTGGCGATGCTGGTCCATGTCACGTACAGTGCCAGCCCGTTCTGGACCTGCCACGCAGCACAGCAAGGGGACAAGAGTGACACACAGGCAATCTTTGTTTGTCTTTGTGTTTCAGGAAGTGCAAAGAACAGAGCCCACTCCCAGTTTGTGCCAAGAGATGTAGATGCCTTTCCAGAAGGGTTGTGAGGAACTTTTTTGTGCAGGGCAGAAATATTTCCTTAGCTATGTTCTGCCACTGGATCTTTCCCTCTGATACCTCCAGCACTGCACAAAGGTTGTTTTTTTTACCATTTACCCACAGCACGGCTTCTCAAAAGCCACCTACCAGAATGCGGATGAGCCAGAGCTCAGCTTTGTGACCCTTCACAAACCATGAGGAGTGGATGCTCAAGGCTCGGTGGGAGACAAACAGGGATGCACATGTGGTAAGAGAGAGGATTGCCAGGAACACCAGGGCTGGAAGGAGGAATCTAGGGCAAAGCACATGTACACACACAAAAGACATCACATTTTTCTCAGTGGTGTCACAATGCCCTAATTTGTAGCTTTAGTGTTAGGTATTTACTGGCTTTAAGTCGATCAGCCTTTAATAAAGGTAATCACTACACGTAGCCCCTCATTTTGACATATTGCTCTTGCTGTTTTACTCTGTTAATCATGAGGTTGTTTTCCTGACTGCAAGTGATTTCTTCACCTCTTGACAGTGGTGCTCTCATAAGCCCATGATGTGACCATCATTATGGAAACAATCCAATTAGAAGAACAGTAGCTTTGAGGCGATCTTAGACTTCAGTGACAAATCTGGCTCATGGGCACGATGACAACATAATGCAAAACCCCCAGACTTTTATGAAGGCTACATTTTGTCCTGGCATAGAGTTTTACAGGTGTGATTAAGTGTTCACACACAGAGGAAAAACCCAAAACATAAAGGAAAGAAAAAAAAGCGCTGGGTTGATCCCATCAAGAGTGTTAGAAAGTATTTGCAACAGAAGACAACTTACTCTCGGTCCCACAAAAAGAGCCATCCAACATTGAGGCCATTATTCAGACACCACGCCACATAAAAAGGTATTGGCAGCAAGTCTGGCTTTATGAAGACATATCCAAGCTCATTCCTGCCAGGAAAAAGTGGATATGGAGAAAGGAAAACAATGCACACATTGACCAAACAAACCTTTCTGGCCTCGTTTTCCTTATATTAGGAGGGACTCTACATTGGAATTAAACACTTTGGTTTAAATCAGACTATTTCTCCTCTGTGTCCTTCTCTGATACAATACAGAAATACCTGTGGCTTTCCCTATCAGGCAGTTATTGATCTCATAGCCCCAAGAAAAGTTCCCAGTCCAGTTCAACAAACCAAGAGACTCCCCAGTGCTGGTTGTTTGATCTCTAACAGAAAGTAAACTCAAAGCATTAGCTCCATAATCCATTAATTTTGCCCCTGTGGATTCTCAGCCTCTAGCAGTGAGTATGGGCAGGTAGTGAATAAATCTGTCAGATTCCCCAAATCATTGAAAACATGGCCTCAAGGAGGAGTTTACACACTTTGATACCTGTCCACACTTTAGAGGAGTTCATGTACATCTCCAAACTGCTTCCCCACTTTGGATGCTGAACATAAGAGATGCTCCAGCCACAGAGCTTCAACATTTCAAGTCAAGATAAATGGCAATGAGTTTGCTCTTGCTAGAAACTCCTGAAAGGGAGGTAAGAGACTGAGCTACTCCAAAAGGGAAGAGTCACTGTCCCTTCTCATTTATACTGTAAATAGTAAATACGGAAAATACCTTCGACAGATCCCTGACAAGGCATAGAGAAGCCAGGCAAGCTGCCAGCCATAGATGACATTCCAGATGAGGAAGGTCCAACCAGCTGGTGTGAAATCAGTGCTGTACTTGTCTGAGATGTTTCCAGGGGTTGTCCTGAACAGACCTGTGGTGGTGAGTGTTATTGCAGGCAAAAGTGTTATTACATCCAGAGGATGGGGAAAGACTGCTGATTTTCCTCAACCTTTAGTCTTCCTCCCTTCCCAGTGGGTTCAGGGATGATGAGAGCCTGCCCTTGGTGTAACCCAGCCACAAGCTGCAGTTGGTTTAGACATCCATTATGGGATCACCATCCCTTATTGGGAACACCACACACCTTCCTTCTTACACAGAACCAGAAAAACCAGCTGTCTGTGTAATCCAGAGGGTAGCATGACGGCAGTTCCTGGCAGATTCAGCCAGGCAGTGTTCACATGCAGCACCACTGTCATCTACAAACCCACAGCAGCAGCCTGAACATCTTCCACCAGGGATATGAGGGTGTGCAAAGACTGCTTTACAGCCACACTAGGTCCAGGTTCAGTGGGAACATTTACTTGGATTCCAATGGGCTGGATAGAGTTCAGGCATTTGGCTGTAATACCTGGAGGATTGCCCAGCTACTTCCACCTTTCACAGAACAAGGTGTATTTGGAGAGTTGATGAGGTAGCAAACACATCTATCCCATCTAAGCCACCTTTTATCACTGCATGATATAAAGCATGAAACCCACCTCTGAACAGAGAAAATTTGCTTGCATTACCTTTGAAAGTTCCAGTGGCATTTCCAGCATTCATTATCACCATGATTGTGAAAGTAGCCAGAGACAGAAACATCACCAAAATCTTCAACTTATGTAGAGCATCCATCTTACTCTGGAACACATTAGAGATACTGTTGGTTTATCCTAAAGGAAGCCTCGGTTGGTTCCACATCCCAGAGATTGTTTTAGAAATTATGTTGGTTGCATGGGCTGGGAGCATCTCCATTTGAAGAGATCTCATGAGGTTGCAGAATGGAAATGGGAAGCTTTGGCTCTGCCACCCTCCATTGCAATAGTCATAGCCTAGGTTTGCCTAAGGTTTTCACAAAGGCCTAAATAATTAGCCCACAAAACTAGTTTATCTGGCATCACTGTTGCAGTTTCACTGAAGCAAACAAACTTATCAATTTTGCCCACTCTAGGAAGCATATATGAAAATGTTGAAGTCCTTGCTTTGCAGCCAAGTGCCTTTTAGTTCAACTTAACTTCTCACATTTACCTCTTTAATCCTATAACTCCGACAAATTAACTTCCTTTCATGGTGGTATTACCGCCTCATCTACTGGCTGCAAATAAGCTTTAAATGCTTTAGCACGTCTCAAGAACTTTACAGACTATAAAACCCACATTCTTCAATTTTTCAAGGTTAGTAAGTAGTGACTTGGGCTTTCCCAAGTGATTTCTGTTAGTCCAGCATTTATTCTATCCCAGAAAATTCAGTGCTAAGAGTAAGCACGCATGCACCCAACTATAGACAACAGCTTTATTTCTCCTCACAGCTCAGCACTTGAGCTGCTTTCTCTCTACAGTGGCACTTCAATGCTTTCCAGGGTTGGCAGGAGCAACAATTGAGTTGTTTCACATTTCTCAGTCTTGAACAATAAATTCCAGTTCCCACTTCAGTGGATTGTTTTATAGTTCCAGGCTTTGTTCACAGAAAGTGCTCCATCCAGACACGTCACAAGGAAGTGGGAAAGGAAATTCTGTTTTCTGTGAATCCATACATGTTTGTTTTTTTCCTTTTCAGTTCTATCTTAACAGAAAAAAACACCCTTTTAAAAAATTAAAATTAAAATCCTATGTGGAAGAGTGCAATATATGAAATCCTAACTAGATTTATGTCAGTCAAATCATAGAACATGTTGTCTTCAACAGATACACTGGATTAGCAAATTCTGAAAAGAAAAATCCACTATTGTACAATTGTGTTGTGCTATTGCATTGTAATATCAGACATATCATTTCTACTGACATGCAGATTTCTGAAAGCCATGAAAATGTAGGAGAAAAATATCACTGTACACTTGTCAGTGATCAAGGAAAGAATATAAGAATAGGACATTTGCCTGCTCCAAACCAGTACACTGGACTAGATGGTCCTGTGATCTCCCTGTCAGGCCAAAGCTGTTCTCCCACAGTCCTGTAGTTGTCTTCAGCACCACACTTCTTTTTCACTAGCATATTTGGAAGAACCTTGGTTGCACAGCTTCAAAGAAACCCATGCTTGCTTATGGAAGTCTAGGAGGAAAACCTTATTAAACAGGTCAATAGTTTCACTAGTGTCTCTCACCTCCTGCCTCCAACTTACTGCTTGCAATAAACGTCTGCAACATTTCCTGCCTGCAGTCTCCAGTCACAAACACCCATTAGAAGAATCAGAAATATTACTCACAGCAATCCACACAGGCTTTATGGCAGCGTTTTACAGCTGTGGTTCAGCTACAAGCAGCTCTGGGGAGTCTCCGCCTCCTAACCTTATCTAAAGAGATTTCATACAACTCTCAGCAGATTAATAATCACTTATTATTAAAAGAAAAATAAAAACTCGCAGAGGTTAGACATGCTTTCTGCCTGTGTGCTGCTGCTGCAGCCTCCAATTGGCTAAAGCCTCCCAAAAACAAGCACTTATGCAAGAGAAATGTGATTACTTAACCAAAGCCTTTTATAACAGCCAGACATTTCGTATAACATTGCATGTTTCCAACTTGTTGGCAGACAGAAGCTAATGAGTGCATGCTCTGGGCTTTTGCCTGCTTTGTCCTTCCCTATCCCTGCCAAGAGGAGGGAAACCGAGCACTTGATGCTAAACACTGCATCTCAAAATCTTAGTGCTCCCGAGTGGGAGATGCTGGCAGGGGGTGCTGGAGAAACAGATTGGATTTGGGGAAAATGGAGATAAAAATGGTTTGAATTGGAAAGGACCTGAAAGCTCCAAAGACCTGTGGCTCCAACAACCCCCCCTGCCATGGGCAGGGACACCTTCCACTAGACCAGGTTACTCAAAGCCCCATCCAGCCTGGCCCTGAACATTTCCAGGGATAGACACACAGATGTAATACACAGAACAGATAAGGTTGGAAAAGAACTCAAAGAACCCATAAATAACATAGATCCATAGTCTGGATCCCGTGAGCATCTTCAGATCTTCCTATTGCCCCAGATGGAGATTGAGTCACAAGTAAATTTTTTGTTCTTTGATATAGAAAAGGCTCCTGCCCCCCAATGCAAGCCCACCCTATAGAAGCAGTGCAAGCTGATCAGTCTCCACCTGTTCCTCTGTCTGCTACAGAACCACAATCTCACCACATCCACTCCTTTCATTTTATATTTCTGCTTGTTTCCTCTCAAATTTAAACTTCTATAGCCAATTTAAAATATTCTTCAGCATCAAAATATTATTTACCTTGTGCAGTCACAGTGGTTACCAAGCAGACAGTCTGGCTGGGAACTGCCCCATGTCAAATATAAAGGCAGTGAATTAACTAGCACCTATCTTCACCCATTGGAAACAACATCATGGGACTGGGAATGAACCCAGCTGGAGCTTCCTTGGCCATGGAGATAGGGGTGGAAAGCCTATATGAACATGGATTTGCCAGCTGTGGGAAGTGCAGGGCATCCAGCCAGCACTGTTGCTGTCTATTTATCAGTGTAGGTGTGAGGTCCACCCTTTGAAGGCATTCTGAGGTCCACCCTGTGGAGGTATTCTGATGAGGAAACCGGTGGTTTAAGTACAATTATTTCTTATTAGCCAGATGATATGTTGTGCTCAACACATGGATCAAAAACAAGAGCTGCTTGTGAATAGCATGTTCCTTGAAGAGGACAAAGGCCTGAGCTCATAGCATGGTGGCATTGGTATTTTTCTCTCAGTTTTTCATTTTGTGAATCCCCTAGGTATGTTCACAGTGACTCTGCCCATGTCCTAGAAGCTGCTTTCAAGTCACAAGTTTATAAGCACTTGTTGCAGCAAGCATGGGCTGAAATACAAGCAGAACCATTACACTGTATGGCCTCTCCTCCTAGTAGATTAAAATCTACAATGCACCTTTTCCCACACTGGACCACGTCTTATTTACAGCCCTCTTATATATACCTAGTGTGTATAGCCATATATATGTCTTTACTCATTACACAGCCCAAATTACCTCAGCATGAGGTCAGACACTACATTTTCATCCCACAAATGAGTGGCCTGAAATTCTTCACTGAATACAGGACACTTTGTCATACATGTGCCTGTTAGGCACAGCTGGTCAGCCAGGTCCATGCTGGCCTAAATCTAGGGAAAGTTCTGCATGCAGGAAACACTGGACAAATGGAAAAAACAAAATACACCCACGTCCCCCCCTCCACACACCTTTCTGTCCCATGCTCTTGCTGGGTATTCCACAATGCAGCTCTTGTTGCAGTGAAACCACTGGAAGCAATGCCACCACAGTGGTGGCCTTGTCCTCTGGCCACACTGTAATCCAGGCAGAAACTCAAAGCCTACCTTCTGGTTTCAGAAGGTTTTGGTTTTTTTTTAGAATAAATCACAACACAGGCCTTGGATAAAATATTCAAAATTATTTTATCATGCAGCAAAAATCCCCGCAAGTACATTCGTAAAACACAGAGCAATGTACTTAGTGCTTGTAAAGTTATTAAAATTGAACATCTCTTGCTTCACTAGGCTGCACAGCATTCCCAAAAGTGGGAATGCTCAGGACAGCTATAGCTTTAAGATACCAGAGTTAAACTCAAGAGAAGCTTTTATGGAAAGCCCCTACCTTTCTACAGTGTAACTTCTTCGAGAGAACTTTTAGGCTTATTTCTTTGACACAGGTTTGAATATCTTTGCTGGCCTGCTGAGGAAATAAAATTATATTGTCAGAGGGGTGACAAATGCAGTTGTATTAATTTCCAACAAGAAATGGTTGCTAATGTTTGTATGCACAAAGAAGCACCATGTTTACAAGAAGATGTGTCTTGAAATCCAGATATGCTGCCGGATGAAATCACTGGAACCAATTCCATAACACAGACAGAGCTTGGTACTTTTCAAGACAAGTTGTTTTGAATCAAATATAAGTTTGTATTCATCTGGCTCATGATAGAGAAAAAGTTTCCAACCAACAGTTATTTTACCATCAGGGCAGTTTTCCACTGATAGACAGATAAATACAGGCTCCTCCTGTATTACCAAAAAATCTTTAAAGGGTCTACCTTTAGACTCTTCAGAGCCCTCATTTCTTTTAACAGAAGAAGAAAATAAATAGGAATAAAAGCTGCTTTTCAAGAAGGAGATCTACCATGCCCATCCCTCCCCATGCACACTCCCTGCAGCACCAAGACATGTTCCACCAGGAGCAGGGCACCTCAGACACCAGCGCACACAGCACAGCAGGACTGGTTGCACCGGGACCACAGCTCCACTGGAAAGCCATGTAAGCATTTACAAGGTGATGAGCTAGCATGAGGGGACTTTGTACTGGTATTAATGCCCTGCTGACAAGAGGAAGATCCCATATTTTTTTTAAATACCCTCCACATGAATCCTCTTGCTAGTAGCTGAAATAAAACATTATGAGCACAGACAGTTTGAGTCCCAGAACAGAAAGTGGAAGAATTGCTTTCTACCTAGAGGTGTCCCTGTGGAGGCCCTGTCCTCAAAATAAACTCATTTTGCACTGTGCAGGAACTGAGAAAAGTTCATCTGTGGGCAGCTCACCCACCTAATGGCACACACTAACATCAGCAGCAAACTGCAGAAAGCAAAGCCCCAGAAACACCTCTCCAGCAAGGCAGGAGCTCAGATATCATCATCAGTCTGCCAGAGCCTTTTGTTCCCACCAGCAGCAAAGACAGGTTTAAATCCTAAAAATATTCTGCACACTCAGTGCTCCAGTTTAATCCTTACAGCCACTTGCTTTAACTCCAGGCTTTCCCAATGTGCTGGGCAAACTGGCACCCACGAGTCAGCGACCTCATTGGAAATCATTTCCAGGCCAAGTTCAGCAAGTGTTGACAACCAAATATACTAATCTTCTAACAACAGCTCAAGCATCCTAATCCTGCAGTGGGTTAATCTGGGTGCCCTCAATGCCAGGGATTTGCCTTTCCTTGCTGCTAGAAGGGATGGGATTTGGCTGTGCACATTAGGATGGGCACACAGTGAAGAGGATCTGTGTTTAGCAATCCCCTTTGGGCATTTTAAGAAGGAAAATCATCTGCTTTTTATTGTTGGAGAGCAAAACAGATCCACCCTTCGGCAGCAAGGAAATATCCCTACATTTGAGGGAATGAGTAAGGAACTCACTACCTTCATATTTTCAACTAGACTTTAAACTGCCATGCTAAAAATCAATGGCTGATCTCCAAGTCTTTTCATTGAACTCTAGATTAAGGATATTATTGCAAACATTTAAGTAACTCAGACTAAGCCCAGCCCAGTCTTGTGAGAGAAAGAGGGTAAAAGACAATGCACTTCTTTCTCTAAACTGAACTTCTAAGAAGTAATAAAAAACATTATCCCCAGATGTTCTCACTTACTGGTTAAGGACTGGCAAGCTTGCCTTCTTCAAAGGCAGCCCAAGAGGCTGCCTGCAGCAGTGTCCAATGTCTGGCAGACAACATCCACAGCATCAGATCAGCAGCAGCAGGAAGGCACAATGAACCAAAAACTCATCTGCACTGAACCCGCCCCTTCAAACAGGATGGCTGTGAAGAGATGAGGAAAACAGCAGAGCTGAGCAGCAATGAACAAAGACACATTTATATGGCTGGATATCTTCAGTTTATAAACCTCTTCACTGCATAAAGGTTATTTTATTCAATCCCATGGCATTACTACCACTCGCAGGACTCTTCCATGTCCTCCTCCAGCACTGAAGGAATGACAAAACCAAGAGCACTCATTCAGTGCTCTGCTCAGTGTCACTTCTCTGTCCTTATTGATTTTAAGAACACAGACATTATTCTCCTGGATACCTCATCACTATCACCTGGGAATGCTTCGCAAGCATTTAATTGTTTCTCTCCCTACAATTCCATGTCAAAAGCAAAAGCCAGCCCCTTGCATTGGCAGCAGTGGAGTTGTCCCTAAGCCCTCACTGGCTACAGGTGGCTGTTTTGCAGAGCTCACATGGCTACCAACATGGCCAGGAACAGATAGGAAGGGAGGAAAGGCAAAATGATGGTGGTCACAGCACAAGTTTTTCTTACTTCTGTGGGAGCAGAGAGCTGCCTTCATTTATAGCTGCAGCATCCAGGTCAGCCAGAACCTCTCATGCAGAAAGCCTGCTTGAGAGGAACTCGGGTGGCCTGATTTTCTTTGTGGTGTTTTTTTTGTGGCACTTTATATGCTTCAATGCAGTAGTGTCACCTATAATTGGCAGCATTCAATGCATCTCTCAAGATGAGCATTTAGGAAATGAGAAACATTTGGATGGCAGCAGCTTTCCTACAAGAGGGCAGCATGAAGATTAAACAGAAGACTTCCATTCACAGCAGCTGAGTGCCTCACTTTAGTAGGAATACTACTTTAACATAGCAACTTTGCAATCTAATTATCTAGGTATTTTTAAAGGCAATTGGGGTTTACATAAAATATCACAGTATGGCTATATAGCACCTCCTACATTAACTATTAGCAGGACTAGAATATTTAGTCTCATTACTGTGGGAAATTAATGGAACAAAACTCATTACAAGACCTTAAAGATAGGGAAGGTGATTTTTTATTAAGAAGATTCCAGTAAGTTGGTCCTACCCACTCCCACTCTCCCATCAACATACTCACATGCACAGGATTGTATGCATCAATGTGTTCAGGATCAGCCAAGTACAGCAGGAAGCACTGAGGATAACACCACCACTCCCCTGCAACTCTGGGTGGGCTCTTCTTCATTTTTGTATGCATCTTTTGTACCCTTCAACAGTGGATATGATCATCTTGTGTCTCACCCTTCAAGAGTTTCAGGCAAAACTGAGTCTTTTGTTACCTTTCTTCTGGGCACTTCACAGTTTCTCTGCTGTGGATCATCATCTTGTCACCTTATCTCTAAAGGCTCTGGTTTGGGTTTTTGTCCTCTGGTTATTTATTTGCATGAAACACATGGTGTAGTTCTGCAGCAATTAATACATGCCACACCTTTAACCCTTCCTCTGCTGTTTTTCTGTTGTCTTCAGCCAGGTGTTTCCATTCACATCAATATTGGTATTTCTGCTGAAAACCTCCACGTCAAGCAGGTCACAACCACATGAGATCCTGGCACACTTTGGAAGCCGCCAACTTCCTGTGAACCAGGGCAGGGAACAACATGGTGACAAATTACACAGCTTCTGGCTGGCCATGCAGAAGTTGAAAATGTCTGTGTGTTGTGGCAAATTTTAGGCAGCAGTCCCTTTAAGTGATTCTCTTGTTTATTTGCTACCACACAAGCTTCATTCATTTTCCTTCCCATTTCCCTTATCCTTGCTTCTCCATCTGCTCATCTGCCTCAATCTCAGTATTCCATACAATTGCTCCCATCCCCTTTTCCTTAGAGGAAATACCACTTCCAAAGGCTGGTTTCTGCCAATGTCTACCCTCTCCTCTTCTGCAAGGATGTGCAAAAGTTCTTTCAGACCTATAACTCAACAGAATCATTTGGCTACTTCCTGAACACAAAAAAAGCACACCCTTTACTCCATGTTCATCTTCCAGACAAATTTCCAGGCTGCCCCTCTGAACATGGAAGTGTTCAAATAGTGAAAAAAATTCAGACAGAAATTTAAGATAAAACATCAGTTCCCTTCTAAATTTAGTCAAAACCATTGAGACCTCTTGTACTGTCACTTGGCAGAAACAAACTAAGCCTGAGGCAAGAAAAAAAAAAAAAAATGGAAAATTGCAGCAACAAGGGAAAACTATAGCCAAAGTGGGCATTTTGATGAAGTCAGAAGAGAAAAAAGGGAGCTCTAGCAGGAAGAATAAGGAAGTCATAACTGCAGACAATGGTGTAATTTTTGCCTACAGTAAATGCACATGTTACTGAAGACATGCACACCCATATATCCAGATTCTCACTTTGCAGCCTCCCCAGAGTCATGCAGTAGGTGTTTTTATTTCTCCAAGTTGGAGACCAGCTATGCCCATGGAAAGCCAGCTGAACACAATTTACATCTCAAGAAGGTGAAATGCAGTTTCTCACAGAAGTCTTTTTCAACACACAAATGTTCCCAGGCCCTGCCACCCACCACTGGAGCCTGCCTGCTCCTGCAGATGTAGGTGAGGACCTATCCCCAGTGCACCCCAGTGCAGCTGGTGATTTGTGCTAAGCTGTGTTTTGGACCCGAGGTGCCTTTTCTTGTCCTTTGGCTTGTTCTTTGAAGGGACTGGAATCCTTTCCTTGGGCAATGTAGAATATTAGAATTGTTTAAGCTGGAAAAGACTGCTAAGAGCATTGAGCCCAAATGTTAACCCAGCACTAAACCATGTTTCCAAGTGCCACATCTACACAACTTTTAAATACATCCAGGGATGGTGACTCCACCACTTCTCTGGACAGGCTATGCCAGGGCTGGGCAATGCTTTCAGTGAAGAAATGTTTCCAAATGTCCAATCTAAACCTCAGAACATCAGAAGCATCCAGAAAGGTTGAAATCACAATCAGCCACCTCTTCCAAAAACGATTAGCAGCAGATTGATGAGGACTGAGACCCCACAAGTATCAGAAAAAGCCAGTAAGAGTCCAAACCCTGTGCAAACTGGAGAGGTGTCTCTTAGCATATTTTCCACATATTTCCAAACCTTATGCTGTCTTAGCCCAAACACCCTTCAGGGTTATCATGGTGCTACTTTTTGTAATTCAATCATCAAAGCAGTGTCCGCCCTTCCTCCTTTTCCTCCTTCCTACTAATTAATTTTTAAGCGAAACTTATGGTGTTAGCAGTTTTAATCTGGTTATTCTGTTGAGGCTTGTCTACAGTCAGAATCCACAAAGCCTCAGTAGTGCCATCACTGAGAGCTCGCTGTCATGCCTGGGAAGCTAGATGAACTATCAGCTCCCTGGATAATAGGACAACATCCTTGTCTCCTGCATCCCAGCTTCCAAATCAGCCATCAGCACAGGGCTTTGGCAGTCTCACAGACTAAGGCACCTAACTGGCACATAAAGTGGGCCATGCAAGATGCAGACAACTGACCAGTCAGTCCCCACCCCTCTCGCATCAGCTTGATAAGCTCAGACACAAGTTGAGGCATATCATGACTCATTTTGTTTGAAAGTTTGTAGAAGTGACAGAGTCAGGTCCTAGAGATAAACACAAGACCATTCTCACCAAGTGTATTTTTTTTTAAGGACACTAGTTATTACTGCTAAAGAGGTTATTTATAGGCTACATAATCTGCCTGTTTGACACATGGTCCTGAAAAGCTCCTGTGTTAAAACACCAGCAGACCTAAAACCCACCTTGAAAAACTCAGCTGCTGCAAATCAAGGAGAATCAGGGCTTGTGCCAATTGCTGAAAGACTTGCTCTGACCACGAATACTTCCATACAGAACTCACCAACAATGTGAGAAAATGAATATAGGAATTCCACTTTCAAAAATTAGGAAATACACACTGAAAAGAGCAAACTCAAGCAGCAAAGGTTTTGGGTTTTTCTTTTGGGTTTTTTTCACCAACATGAAACTGTCCACACTTTACATGCAGGGTGTTTTTTTTCTAAATTGGGTTTGGACCACAACAACTCCAGCATTGTCCTTCCTAACACGTTCATCCTTTGCGGCAAGTGTAGCTCAAACCTACCTGCTACAGTAGTAAAACAGAGTAATAACAACGAGATCCATCATTCATTATGATGAAAGGACTGCCATGGCTGGATCACATTATATCAGTGGAGGCTATAAATCTCCTCCTATTTTACTCCCCACAAAAAGAGCACTTTCGCAATCAGAGAAAGCTGCTGAGCCAGAGATGTGCTCTCAAGGCATGTGAGTGTTCTGCAGGAAAACATCTGTCACTTGGCAGTGTTCACCTGAAAGGAGAGCCCTGGGTGATATGGCACAGAAGTGAAAGCTTTTTTCTGCAATATGCTGTACAACAGAAAGTGAAAGTGTCTGAAAAAAGAGAATTTCAACTTTACTGGGGGAAGAGCCATCATGATCACTTCATAAAACTCCAAATATTAAAAGCCATTATGCTGTGCTCACACCCTAAGTACACCATACTGAAGAAGCTCCACTTCTAAAGGCTGTTCCACATGCCAGATAAATATTTGATACATCAACTTCTACATCCAACATAAAAGGAAATAAATATGTAAAACCAAACAAAACCCATCAGAGTCCCAGTAGCCTCCCCTACCTGCCCATGAGGAGGAGGCTTTCCAGAGATACCAGCAGGATCTCTGCAGGTATGGATGGTTTACTCAGACCATTGGATGTACAGCAGCAGAACAGTCCTGTTCAGTCACATTTCTGCCCTCTCAACCATCAGTGTAAGTCAGATTTACACCCAGAAGTTAACTGGTCTCTTGAAATAAAAGCCTGGAAAAGAGCTCAGACCATTCCAGAAGGATGAGTGCGAAGCCAAGGCCTCCCAACCAGACTATTTAGGGATCTTTGTGTCTTGGATAAGGCTAGAGGTCGTTGCTCAAAACTACTCATTCATGGCAGTCACAGACAGCAAGGTTTCACCATCATTCAACACAGTGACTTTCAGAGGAACTATTTCATTCACAGGACTTAGTAAAAGAAACTTTTGGAGACCATCCTGAGAACAGAAGAGAACTATAGAAATATAGAAAAAAAATTTAAAAAATTATATATATAATGCAATGGGAGGACCTTCTGTTGAAAAAATCCTGGAGGACATAGTTACCTGAGTGACAAGAAATAGAAGAGTACCAGTAGCATTTATCTGTGTCAGGGAGCAGCACTGTGCCATGAAGGGGGACAAGGAGACCCAGCACAGGCTGTGCTCTCACCCACAACAGAGTCCCTGAGCAGAGCTGGGTGCTGCTAGCATCTTCTATCAACAGCCCCAGACACAGCAAAGGGGTGGCCCAAGCCCAGGGGTCACCTGGGGGTGCAATCATTGAAGGGGGCTGGAGACAAGCTACAAGACATCCCCTCAAGGGCCCATCCAGACAGCAAAACCAGAGACCAACCCACCTGTGAGGCAGCCTGGGCTGGGCTCAGAAAAAGCTGCTGAGTAGAGGGTTGGGTGGAGGTTCCAACTGAGGCTGCTCAGAGCACTTGGGACCCTCTGGGTGCTTTGGGAGTTTGTTGGGGCTTTTTCACCGGAACCTCAAAGCTGCAGAGGCCACAGCTGGGAAGCTGGAGGAGCAGCAGGACAGTGTCTCCATGAGGAGAATGGCAGCTGGGAGGTTTATTCCCATGGCACGTTGGAGCAGCAGCACACAGAGCTCTGCCTGCTGTGTCAATGAGGGCCACTGACCACCATGGGCCTTTGTTCTTTGCTTTGGTCTGGCTGTCAGGACTGTCAGGGATTATAAACATCAGCACTGCAGATTTTGCTGTTGGTGCCAAAAAGCAGAGCAATCAGAAGTTGTGCCTCCTCTTCCTTTCCAATTTAAAGCATTTCAGCTAAAAACTAAAAAGATGTTGGGTATTTTTTAATCACTGCCATTCAAACTTTATTGGAAAAAGCAAATTCAAGGACCTAAATTCTCCTTTTTAAGGGCCATCTAAACTAATGCTTGATGGAAGACCTCATTTATCCCTCAGTAGTGCCTGGAGACTTTTTTCCTCTCTCCTTGTTTCTTTCACCTGCATACATCCTCATCACTTCTTTTGTCATTGGCATCCCCTTTAGCAGTCCCACCTAACAAGTACTCCCCTTACATATTTGGACTTTTTACAGGGCCTCAGGGCAACCTCTCTCCAAAAAAACCAAGAAGGACATTCACTGAAAGGGACTGAAAAAGTCAACTTTCTCTCTTTGCTTCCTGGCTTGGGATGCAACCACAGAACAGTTTATCTCCAGGGTAGTTAACAGGAAAAATGCCAGCAGGTGGCATTCCAGAATAGCTTCTGGGATCTGCGATGACAGCAAAACCTGAGCTACACCCAGGGCTCCTCTTACAGCTGTTGACATCTGCACAGTGGAAGGGGATGCAGGAGAGCTGCAGCAGCATATCCACCCACAGCACCTTTAGGTGATGGCTGCTGCTGCTTCTCTCTCCTTCTGTCCTCCTTCCCTCCAGCCTTCAGGTTGTTTCTCACAAATAAGCACTTTAATGACATTTGTTTTGAAATTTCTCCTTGGAAGAAAGTATCTGGGTGATGGATGAGGCTGCCATTCGAACACTGAGTCAGTCTCCACTTCTCTCTCCAAGCACTTGAGTATCTTTAAGTGCCATCTGACCTGAAAGCCCTGAATATAAAGTCACACTGGAGAGCCTTTAGTACAAGACACATACCTGTACATGCATGCATTTGCATGTAGCATCCAGGGGCTAGTAACCACTTTGGCTCAACCTAGTTAAGACAGCAAGTTTTCAAAGCTTTCTTTGCTCGCCCTTAAGCTTTAGTGGGATAAAAATAACATTGATCAAAGTCACCCCTTGCCACAGTTGTAGCTACTGCCACTCTCAGCAAAAGCAGGTATTGCCCAGGCTGTGAGCAGCAAGACACCTGCTGGCTGTGCTAAAGCCTGTTATTTCAGCCTGAAGTAGAAATATCCTCTTGTCTTGAAAGCCTCACTGCTGCAACATAATAAGTCATGAGTAAAGTACAGAAAAAGCTTGTTCTGAGCATTTTAACTTGATTTGCCTCCTGGAGTTGGATAAATGGCTTCATGCACACACCAGCATGCCTCAGGAAGCATCAGGAAGCCACAGCCAGTGTAATCTGAAAGCTCTAGGTTACATTTTGACCCAAACAGGAAAGTGATCTCAGTTCTTCCAGAGTTGTTACGACAGCTGGCAGTGCCTAAGGAGGACACAGCACCCGGGCTGTGTAGGCATTGAGGAAAAAGAGAGTTTGAATATTCCTGCCC